ATTTACTTTTACGTGATAGCTTTGAAAACTTTTGTATTTTTACAAGCAATTTTTGAAACAGCGATTACCAACTTTCATGAAATTGGCTCTTTAGCAGAAGCACATAGATGAAATTTCACTTATTGTAATATTTCATTTTTGCACAGAATTCAGTAATGTTGAGTTGAAGCTGTTTTTTACAAAACTTACTGATAGTTGTTTAATCCCATCCTAGAATGAAAATCTGAACATATATTTGGAAATAACGAAAAGTCTCGATTCTAATTGGTTGTCTTTTGATAACCGAAAAATGAACAAATATTTTGCACTAAATCTTTCATGCTATTGATTTTATTTTTGATTTTAGGCCACAATCAAAAAAATACAAATCACTTCTTACAGTAATTGAAAAGTTATATTTAGCTATGGATGAACTTGGATTTTCACCTACCAATGGTAAATAATTCTTTTTCTTCTTTTTTTGTTTTTAATGAAAAAGAAAAATCATTTTTATGTTTTCTTTTTGTCGTTTAGAACTTCAACGAGTTTTACTTGAATTATCATATCGTGTTATGCCATTTGATCGATTTGTTGCTGCTATTGATCAAAATATTCTTACATTAACAGAAGAATTTGTTTCACGAGTTATTCTTGGTTAGAAAATTGCATAAAAAAATAATTTGATTTATTTTCTTTTTCCTATAGAATTAGATGATGATCCAGAATCATATACAATTAAAGAACAACTTATTTTTATGTTACCAAATATTAATTCGGTAAAAAAAAATGAAATATCGATTATTATCGAAATTATTTTTATTAGTTTTATTGAATACATTTATGTGAGAATCATAAAAAAAACCGTAATTGTTTTTGATAATCATCAAAATTTAATTAGAGCCATACAAATTCATTATTGATACTTACGAGAGAATGTTTCTTCAAGACTTAGGTGACAAACCTTGATAAGAATAGTCTATTGTGAAAGTTTCAGATTTTCCGATTGCTTCTATTCTGAAATAAGTACAGACGATTTCCCTAATAACGACGGGAAAATTTTATCTTACCTTGTTTTGTTTGGTACTCGACTATCGTCTATCCAATCAAAAATATTTTTATATTTGGAGAAACCTTCGATTCTCTTCTTTTCAATGATATATATATATATATATAGGTTTCCTTTTATGTACGTGTTATGGTGGAGAAATTAGCAGTTTACAATGAAGGGACCAACTGTCACTATTGCAATAACGACAGTTGGACCCTTCATCGTAGACCACTAATTTCTCCACGATAACACTTAAGTAAAAGGAAACCTATGTATCATTGGAAAGAAGAGAATCCAAGTATTCTCCAAATATAAAAATATTTTTGATTGGATATACAATAGTCGAGTGCCGAATAAAACAAGGTAAGACAAAATTTTTCCGTGGTTATTGGAGAACTCGTCTGTATGTGAACCGCGTAAGAAAAAATATTCTTTTACCGTAGCCGTATCTTAGGATAGGAAAATCAACAACAACGATCGGAAACTCATACAATAAACTATTCTCATTAAAGTCTGTCTCTATACAATGTTTCACATTGAAATTCGAAACTCAGTTTTTTTAGTATGTCTGAGGGGGGGGGGGAGTCACACAGTATTATACTATTCATATTTCATTAGGACCTATTTGTTGCATATAGTCCTGATTCAAAATCGATTTAACACTCAGAAGTATTGTCTCATCAGTTTAATTTCAATATGATAAACTTAGTTCGAAGACAAAAGAATAAATCGAACAATGTCAACATATGTGGGAAGGATAAGGTCCATTAATTGACAAAAATTTTCATTGAAACCATATGTTTGTTTTGATAATATTATTGAATATTGTACTTAATTTATCTGACAATAGAGAAGAATGTATTCTCTAATAAAAGGTTCTAAAAAAACGGTTTGAATTATAGTATTTCATAACATTACGAGTCAGTTTGTTTCATACTTGTCTAACAACGTATTAGATTTTCTATTTGTTTGAAGTTCATCGTACTAATAGATGTTAATATTTTGTGTGCTAGCGCTTTTATTGTTATTGATTTGCATGATCACAGAAATGAGACTTTAATTTTCGATTTCCGATCTGTCTCGTATCTAACAATTCATTAGAGAAAATTAAATTCGATAAACAGTCAACTCAATCATCGAACATTACAAGTATAGCGAGAAGATAATTGATTTGATCATCGATAATACAAAACTAATATTCAAGGAGACTATCGAAACTCTAGAATTTGATTCAAGAGTCAGATGATGTTGACATTTTTAATACAAATACATAACTGCCATGGTGTATAATATAGGAAATCGGAAACGAGAATGTAGTAGCCGAATTTTTTTCGGCTCGAGACATAGTCGATATTTTGACTCAATCATCGTATTCCTGTTTTGAAGTTTCTATCATTTTTTACAAGTTTTCCTGTTGGAAATGACGTCTTTCCCGTAAGTTCCGACCGGAAATCTGAAGAAACGATCATCGAAACCATTAATTTGAGTTATATTATATAGTTTGAATCAGTACATTTATCTATCATTCTTAGTAATACTATTCTTACCTTTCTTCTAAGCTGAACATCATTATTTCCTACATATGTAGACAACAACCTTTTTAATAACGCTCACTTGAATTTAATAATAACCGCTACAAAAATTCTGTAGTAATTATGAAATAGATTATGTCAAACAACGTATGAATATATGAAAGAAAAAATTTTCATGTTGATCAAATGAGAACTAATTCGTGCGTTAAGAGAAAATATGTATCACGGGAAATACAACGTATTAGAAAAATAATTATGTTGGATTGAGAAAAACAACAGGCAGAAGTAGTAGCAATAGAAAAATATCTTTTGTTTTTCATATCTAATTTGACCCTGGTTGACGCATTGCTAACTTTATCATGAAAAAAAAATCTAATAACGAGACTGAATAAGACGACTTATATAATAAGAAGTAATGCTACTAAAATGAACATCATATATTATAAATGATTTTTATGAAACATTTTCATAATAATTTAATTATCTAAGTGCAATCAACTAACATTTTTTTTTTTTGATTTTTATTCTTATTTGTCTCTTTATTAGATGAGTATAAATCCTTAAGAAAATGTACACTTTGATATAAAATATTGAACTCTTTCATTTGTTGTAAATAATACTTTCAATAAATTTCTTTTTCGTATCATAATATTAAACTGTCATTATTATAAAAGATGAATTAATCATATTCTAAATACCTTTATTCAAGAAAAAAATTCATTAACAATCGATCACATATGATAGGTAGTTTTTTTTTCTTGATTATCCTTCGTATGATTTGTCTCTTCATGTATTATACAATCTATCTTCCATATATGATGATTGACGACTTTCTATTTTCTTTTTATATATCAGTTCTTCTCAAGCCTTTTTGCTTCTTTTATCAGAAAAAGAAAAACTATTTGATTGATAAATGTAATTATCTTATCCTTTCACTAGATCATCAAAGTTTTCGGAAATATATTATGTATATATATATATATATATATACATATCTATAAATAGTAGTTGAATGTAAGTTTATTGTTTTCTTTTTAGGATTTACATTCACGGTTATTTGCTTTAATAAAGAATGATCGTGCTAAACGAACGACTGCGCAATTACTTGTCACTCGAAGTTTTTCGACAGGTGATGTTCATTGATATGGAACAGCAATAAATGATTATAGGATTATTTCTTTTTCTATATAGATAATAGACATAGAAGTGCAATATCATCGTCTTATGCACATGCAACTTCACATGAAAGTAAAAGGATAAAAAAATAAGAAAAGAAACGTTTGACTAATTCGATTAATTATCATATATGTCTTTCATTCATACGAATAGTTCAAGTTGATGAAATGATGGATATGAATAGCAATCAAAATGGTACTAATACTCATAGTAGACTTGTCGAACAAGCTGTAGTCACTTTCTTTCGTGATTGTAATCAACGAGGTACATATAATGAAATAAAACAAAAAAAAAATATAATACGAAAAAAAAAACCTAACCAATATTATATATTATTGTAGGAATATTGGACGAAGATGAAATGAGTCAAGTTAAAACTGGACTCTTTTCCTTGGCTTCATCAGCATCATAAGAAAAATATATGAATAAGAGACATCAATGACTTATGTGACTTTGATAGATACGACTAGAGATTTTTTTTTTCAATGTTATATGCGCTCTTTTTTTTTTCTTCCATCTACCATTTGTGGATAATATATCATTGGCTGTCTTCGATAAGCTTACATGAAAAAAAGAAAAAAGAAAATTTGTCTTAATTAAGAAGCTCATAATCAAATCGATACTTTTGCTATTGCTCTTCAGAATATTTTTGGCTAATATTGCATGTTTGATCAGTTAGTTTCCTATATCATTGTTTTATTCATATTCTTCACATTCTTTTGATTTTCATTCTAGCTGCTTATAATAGTAATCTATCTTTTCTAATAGGCTCATATCATAGTAAAGCTAGTGACAGATAGGATACTTAAATAATTTTCCATCTAAGGACAAAATAATAAATTCGACACATAAAATTCTTCTGATTCCGTAAGAAAAAAAAAAGAAAGTCTATTAGCATACAAGAAATATAACGTTGATACGTTCGTGTGTGTATCAATCTCATTCTCATTATTTAAGCTTCAAATATATTATTTTTCTATATAATGCTTAAAATACATCATAGTGTTTTTTTTTTCACTAGTCGTTTTTTCTTTTCTGTTATATTCTAGTCGTCAGCTAACCATTTATTTCTTGAGAAAAAAAAAAAAATAAGACTACCAACTGTTCAAATATACTTTTATTTGTCTAAAATAATATATATATATATATATTAGTTTCGAAATATGTTTCTATTTTTAAAATTTGTTGCTACCCTATGAATGTTTTTCTCTTAGTTTTTTTTGTTTGCTTTTTTTGTTCTATTAATTTGTTTTCTTCATAGAATAATGGATCCTTTACAATCAGAACAAGTCGGACAACATTTACCAACTGTCATTGAATATCAACCATCAATTTCAATAAATAATAATGATTTAGTTACAAAAAATGACAATAATGATGATCATCAAGCACAAATACGTCGTCGTGCACCAACAAGACATTCAATAAAATCATTACCAGGTCGAAAAATATTATCAAGACAAACTTCAGTAAATGAGGTAAAATAACTAGTTTTTTTCTTTTATAAGCTATTCATTTTTCTTTTTTTAATGTACATTCATATTCTTTTTTTTTATCACGTTTTAAATTATGTCAAACGTGAAATTATTTCATCAGATGTTTTCTTTTTTACTATTTCTCTTTTTTTTTTTGATTTATTCTCTTTTAAATATATTTGCTCGACCTGTCAGTGTTAGACATGCGTACATGTTCGTTTTGAAAAAAAGGAGAAATTGCCTTATCAGCTGTGCACACATGACAGTTTATTATGTATGTTTGATACTTCCTTTTTTTTATATGTGCAGCTGTTTTTCTTCATTGATAAATTATAGACAATAGGAACAAAAAAAAATAGAAAATTTAAGAAGAAGATATTTAACTTGTAAGAATACATCATATTGATAGTCGTTTGATACGAATAAAATTCTATTTTGTTTGGTCCATTTTAGCTATATGATGCTCTTAACATTTAGCAATCGTTCTCTCTATGTATTCTGTCTTTTCTTTTTTGTTCTTCTTCTTCTTCTTTTCTTCTTTGCAGTTCTTGCACGACCTCATATATATATATATATATATATATATATGTAAGCATTTCTTCTATCGTATTCTATTGCTTTCTCGGTCCTTCTGTTTTTTTCTTCTTTCGTCGTCATCTGTCGAGCGAGCGTGCAAACGACCGACCGTCCGTCCGTTCGTCCGCTGTTTGATACATGTCGAGCAGCCAGTTCTAAGCCAAGAAGTACAGAAAAGAGAGAGTTAGAAAGAGAAGAGTTGACATAGCGGACGCGCGTGTCTATGTTTTACGTCTGTATGTTTGTGTTAGAGGCATATATGAGATTGTGATGATGATTATACCAGTCAAGAAATGTCGAATCCATCAACCTGCTCATTAATATTGTAGAAAATATAACAAAACGAACAAACAGACGAACAAATATATTCAAGTGTTAACGAACAAAATGTTTGGATTCAAAACTTCAAGTAAGAGTAAACGAAAATCAAATAAAAATCCACCAACACCAATAAGTACATCAAATGAAACAAAACATTTTCATTATGTACCAAGTGTTTCACAAATTGCTCCACTTCCACAAAATAAATCTCATGGCATATTACCAGTTTTAAGTCTCGATGGACGTGATGCACCAATTTCGATGCAGTCAGAAACATCAGAAACTGATTTAACATCAAATACAACAACTTCAAATAATGAAAATGCCCGACAACCGGTGGGTGTATACAAAATAAGATTAATTGATCTTATTATATCGTCAAAGTTTGTTTTCATTACTAGTATAGTATATTTTAATAACCTCAATATGGTTTTAAAAATATTTTATGGGAAAACCTTTTTCTATTTTCATGAGCATGGATGCGTAAGGATGAGCACGAACAAAGATCTTCTATTATATGTAATTTCTTTTTATAATTATGATCCCATTCATATAATAACTTTATAGATCTTTGTATGTTTTTTTCTTTTTTCTTTGATTCAATTCATTTTGATCATTATTAATAGTTTTTTTCTTCTTTTTCTTTTCAAATGATTCATTATTTTTACATTTTGAGGCGTCAGTTTCTTTCTTGGTTTTTTTTTTCTAATTTATTTTTCTATATTCATTCAACCACTTATACGCTTAAAGTAGACCGTAATGCAATCGAACGTAATGAAAGAAAGAACTAGAATACAAACATTCTTATGCAAGAGTCAGATGTTTTATTTTGCACTGTTTCCAAACTATGACGCATATTGATTCATGAATGAAATATAAGCACAATGAATAATAGACAAAAAAAAAATAGAATAATTACAATCAATATGCATTACTCATCTAAGGCTGTTTTTTTCTTTTTTGGTTGCTTGTGATAGATAAGAATAAAGAAAAAAAATAGCATAGATAATTATATTATGTTAAATAATAAAAAAAAAAGCAGAGAAACTAAGATAAGAATACATGTTATTCCTTCGACAGAGAAAAGAAATCTAGTTATTCAATTTTGTTTTTGTTCATTACATTAATGTTGACAATTAAATTATATTCGGAATATTTAGACTAGTAGAAAAATTTATTTATAAGGTTAAAAAAAAGTTTTATTTACAATAATAAATAGAAATATACAAATTAAATAGAATATTGACATTAATATAGATAGTTTTCTTACGAAATTATTTTTCTTCTACACAATATGTTATTTTGTTTGTTTTTTTTGTGAGAATAATTTTCATTTGGGATCAAAATATATGTTAGCATACAAACTGACGAGGAAACGTTTCGAAGTGTCAAATCTCTTATGAGTTCACACTATGCGTATTATGTTGGTTTCAATGACCTGTGAATATTCTCAAAAGTGTTTGGATTAATAATTTATTGCTGCCGAGATACGATGTTTTTAGCAGAATGCTGTAGTGTCTCTCAGGAAAACTAAATTTCGACTTGAAACTTTGCATAGAAGCATACCTTCAATGAGAATAATTTATTGTAAAAGTTTCAAATCTTTTGATTGCTTCTATTTTAAGATATGACTATGATTAAAAGTATATTTTTCATGCTGCTCATATACAATGACTAATTCCAGTGTTCTTATTCTAGAACAGATGCAATCAAAAAATCTGAAACTCTCTCAATAAGCTATTCTCATTAAGCTCTATCTCTATGCAAAGTTTTAAATCTAAATTTGAAACTCAGTTCTCTTGATATCCCTGAGGGAGATCACGGCATTCTGCTAAAAGATACAGTATCTCAGTAGCAATAAGCTGAAAGCACGAACTCTTTTCAGGACATTTATAGCTCATTAGAACCTAAATGATCCACACAGTTTCAACTCAAAAGCGATTTGACATTTAGAAACGTTCTCTCATGAGATTATGTCCAATGTTAGATTGACGACTTACGAGCAAAACATTTTCGACTAATCAATCACTTTCTCATCGAACGTTAGTGGAATGTAGATTATTGACCATGCTAGTTTCGAAAATAACCATGGAAAATCTCCTTAGATCTATATATAATAGTTTTTCAGACGGATCGACTTTTCCTCAAAATCTTTTTTTTTAATCTATCTAGATCACAGATCATATCGAATCGTCTAGAAAATAGCAGATTTTTCTGTTTCAAATTAGTTTTCTTTCTGCAGAGAATACAGCTCATTTAATTCATACAATAGCTACATATCGACATTTCAAGCTGAAAATTTTCAAAATGGTAGTATTTTACTTAAGATTCATTTTTAAAGAAACAGAAAAGATTAATGACTCATAAGCAGCTGGATATGCTATATTATATCAGAAGAGCCAAAACAATTTTGCCAAAATATCTATTAGTCTGGAAAGCGAGTATATATAGACTTCAGGGCATTTAGTACAGTCATACATGGAATCAATATAAAAGATAACTCATAATTCAGTAGTGTCTGGTAAGAAAGCGATTGATCAGCTGATTATTTTCTTTCGTTAGATAAATTTCGGATATGAGATTTGACGCGTCCAATGTTGGAGTATGTAGAAATCTATGCTACAACTCGAATTAGTGTTTGAATCGATGTCATATGTGGATTTCTATTGATTAACTAAGAGCAAAATAATGGAATTTCAATTAATACAATTATCAGTTGATTAATTAAATTTGAATTCGTGAAATTATGAACGATTTTATAGACAAAAACTGTTTTAATAGAAATTGTTCATAACCACCGTTCGAATCTTTACTTAATTCGTCCATTGATGATTGTATTAATTGAAATTCCATTGTTTCTTTCTCAGTTGATCTGTAAGAATATAAATATAATATTGATCGATAAAAACAAATTCGAGTTTTATCATAAATTTCTCTCTTAATTCGATATTGAACGTAATCTTCGTTTAAACGTTAACATATATATATATAGATAATTAATGCGTTATCGGACAGATTTTTTTTCGATCTGAATTCTAATTAATCAACTCATTTGTCTTTCAAAATTAAAATTAATCCTATCGATTTTTAATCTTCGATTATATGATTATCACGTGCATCATGAGCTATAATAATAATATTTTATTATTTCATTATATTCTACTCATTTGAATATATTATTTGAAAATATTGTACTTGAAAATAATTGTTCAATGATTTAAATGGAACAAGATGTATGAATAAAACATATTGATTTAATAAAATATCATATTATTACAAAAAAAAAGAGAAGAAATACTTTTTCAAGAATTCTAAATTAAATAAAAATTCGAAAATGTACGCTTGATGAATTTTCCTATTTGAAATCTATTCAATTCTATAAATGTATCGAATTTCTCGAATGAGGAATCTCAATTCTTTCTTTTATCTTATTCAATCTTTGATTTTTAGAAAACTGAAATTTTATTAAAAAATAAAAAAGAAACACAAAAGAAAAATACTTTAGTTTTTGAGCAACTATTGAATATTTAATTTTGTCATATAGTTCTCTTCAAAAGCAATTTCTATGTAATGCATTTTATGAATTCTTTTTATAGAAATATAAAAGCTTCCTGTTTGTTTTCGTGACAATTACCGCTAAAGATCAAAATTACAACTGTTCCGTGATCAGATCAATTTAAATAGTTAAATCGACCAGTTCTTCGAGTTGAAAAAAAATTATTTAAATCTGTTGGTTTTATTGCGAATGAATTCTCTCTCGAGTAAATTTTAGTACTTTTATCTGGCTTCCCACTCCGCCTCTTTTTTGGGGAAAGCTAGATGTTAAAGGAAAATAGTCGATAATGTTGACTTCTTTGGGTGCATCAATAAGTTTTTAATCAATAGGGTCAATCACAAGGTTGAAAATTAACCTTGAGTACGCATTGAGAAAATCAAATAGACACTAATTCCAATCCGAAATATTTTTTAGTAAATTATTTTGGTGTGGTATTTAATCGGATTAGCTAAAATCAATATTTATTGAAGTCAAAACTTAGAAATACTAAAATAAACTGCAATATAGTTATGTACATGCAAACATAAAATTTTGAAAATTAGATACTTGAGCGGAACAACAAGGCAGCTTCGAGTATGAACTTAAAAACGATTTTCGATAATTAAAATTCAAGAATCTCGACTGCAAAACTGTGAAATCTGTCGTCAAAGTGATCAGATTTGCTCGGATGGTTAGATCGTTTCCAAGACATAGTCGGTTAGCAAAGCAATAAAATACGATTTTTCCCGATAAGACTCCGAAAATTTTTACCAGAGGAAAAAGTTCCTCAAGTGTCCGTTCGCACGCAACAATAGATTCTGCATTTCTGGTCGCCTCGAAGATAAATTAGTGATGATCTCTAACAAATCTTGTAAAAATTCGCCGCGTCATGTAACTTTAAAAAGATACAGTTTTTCTACTCTTAGATGAATTTTATGAAAAGTTGTCAAAACCGAACTTTAGTCTATACAAGATTCAAATTTTTTCAAGTACAATCTTTCTTGTATATTACTCAATTCCAATTGAATTCCGAGTTATATTAAGTCTTAATAATTGATCAGAATTAGTATTCTTTTGTTGTCAGGAAAGACTTCCGATAAAGCGATAGAAATTCTTGTCACAGATTTGAGAAAGAAACTTTGAACGCTTTGTTTTGAATTGAATTTGTGGTAATTTCTTGTCTTATAAATATGTACGTCCTATGACGTCCTTTTTGTTTATGTCAGCTCTTTATGTTCTCGTGCTTTTATAAACTGAATACATTCTGAATATTTATTGGTTTTCTTATTAATGTCTTTTTCTTTGTCTACGAATATTCGAGTAAAGTGATATCATAGTCAAGTACTTTTGAAGTAGACCCTATTCTTTTTGTCTATTTTTTGTAGTTCTCTTTTCCTGATCCCGGTAGAAAAAAACACGAACGCAAAATGTCAACAACTGAAAATCGCTTTCATCTTTCGAGTTTTTCGAGTCATTGAATCCAGATTAACGGCGTTCTAATTGATTGACTTCTGATCCTCGTCATAGTCTTTGCTTGCATTTTAGAAGCGAAAAAATGCGCCTCTTTTTTTCCCCTTTTTTCTTACTGAAAATCCTCTTTCTTCTGCACATGACGTTTCTCTTTTTTCCTCTTTTTCTAGGGACTGTCGGTAGGATGTCAGACTTTCATTAAAATAACAAATGATTTTATTTTGTTGCGTTCTTTTTTCATCTTCAAAAAGAATGATTGGAACTGCTTACATACACACTTGGTTTCATCATTTTTTACATTGAGATTTTGTTAGAAACCACGTTTAAGGAAATCTCCTTTTCTGACCCAAAATTTTCAGTTTTTTCGTTTTTCATTTTTTATGTTTAATATATAGATCTAAATGCCCTCTGTCTAATGAGCACATTATTAGGAGACAAAACCACATTTTTTATTCAAAAACTCGAAAAAAAAACTGCATTTCAAGCTCAAAATGCTAAAAGATGCAACTTTCTTTACAATTTTCTCAAAATTAGATTTGTAAACAAAAAATTGAAGTTTTCTCTTCTTTTCTCTTAGACAATATGGCCTGTTAGATTCAAACTTTTTTTATGAGTACCTCAATCAAATTGCAGTGCGTGGTTTTTTGTTCTCTTGAAAATATTGTATCTATGAAGTTTTGCAGATTTTACAAAATTAGCACTCACCAAAAAAAAAGCTATTTTTAATGGTTTTTTGATAGTGTCTCCAATTTTTTGCTTCATCTGAGCCTTAGGAACAATATTTTTCAAAGAACAATAAAAAGCGCGCACCCAGCTTTGTTCCTGGTTGCCACAGAAAAAACCTCAGCCATAAAAAACGTAGTGCGGACGTTTGCGGGGGAGATCTATCTACCCTGAAAGTTTCAACACTTTTTTACCAAGCTGTTTTTGAGAAACCTCGGAAAGGGGCGGTCTCCTTAAGTGTAGATTTAAAAAAACCATTTAGTTATTCTATAAACCTTGAACAACAAAAAAAAACCCAAATAAATCATTGAAATCTAGAAACTAACATTGATATCAGAATTAAAAAGAGATGGATATAAGCTCAATAGCTTGACTATAGTAACAGCTGGTGCTCTACGGTTTTCAACTATTGCAAAAAAGGAGAACTCCAGACGTCTTTTTATCTGATTATTGTATCAGACAAAAATCATTTTAAAACTCATCACCTTCGCAAAACATTCAAAACAAACGCATGAGAACAGTGTTCCATTTCAGGAAAATTTCGTAAATTCTATTTACTCAACATTGCGATAAAAAGTGTAAAATAAGTTTTAACCCTCTTATGCAATATTGTTTTCTGACATGTTTCTGTATTGGTCAAGGCTGATATTCATAGTGCACTAGAATCCATAGGGTTCAAAATTTTCAGACCCGGACCTGACGGGCTCTACAATAAAAACACTAGGCGTCTAGCTCTGCTTTATGCTAGGATTTCAGCTTTTTGCTTATTATTGTTATAGAGACACAAATGATATAAAATTTATAAAATTTTTTGAAATCTTTTTGACATTTTATTAGTAATGTTACGTAAAAGATACTGCTCGAGAGAAGATTTACAAATGGAATTTCTTCTGAATAATAAAAAGATCATTCTTTAATGTTCATATATGTGTTCTCCACCTTGCTCTATCACTTACTTCAATCGACTCAGTATTTTTTTTCCATCATTTACTAGCATTTTTCTGCTGTAAACATTCTTCATTATTGTATTACTTGGTTTTTCAATTCTAATTCATTATCATATTGTTCACTTCTCAGTAGTGAACCGTATGATCATGATAGTGATCGTGACTAGTGTTTCTAATAGAAATCTAAAACAAGATATACATGTAAATTTTATTTATATGAGCAAATTGTACA